AGCTCTTGTCAGAACACAAGAAAAATTAAATAAAAAGCTCAACCGTAGTACCTTGTCTGTCGTTTTTAATGAAACATACATACATACATATAATATCAATTTAAGGTTTATTTTTTTATGTGGAACAAATATTTGAGTAGACGTTCCGCTTATTTATTAAACAGTCTATTTATTTTATTTTAGAAATATTAAGGAAAATTCTGAACCTTTATTTCGTCCTCAGGTGTAGATTGTTCTAGTTCCACGTGCCATGCCATTTATGGATGTCTCAGTTATCTTCTTCTTAACTCAAATCTCTAATTTGTTGTCCATCACTACAGTAGCCGGTAATGTGGACTGACATCTCCTTGGGTCAATTCACTGAATTCAACCAACGCTTTAACCATTGGGCCATGTGTCCTTCATTTTTCTATTGTACTACGATTGTGTTGACATTTGTGATTTTCTTAGTGTGGCGTCTATGTTCACAAACCAAAAAGAGATTTTCTTTTGTTTTTTTGCTTTACTTAAATGTGAAAATTCCTTGTAATAATCTCGAATTTCATCCGAACTGACGAAATATAAATAACTTCCTAATTTTTGGTAATTTTTCATTGGAGACAAAAGATTTTGAGTTGAAGTTGTTTCAAGGCAGGATAAACAAATTTGATTTAAAATTTATAATTCCAAAAGAGCTCCAAAAATTTAAAAATTTAATAAAAGAAAACAAAGTTTGATTTAAAATTTATAAGTTCAAACTCGTGTCAAAAATTTAATAAAAAAAAACAAAAAATTTTGATATAAAATGTATTTGTTGGGGTGAATTAATATTTGCGATAAGTAACTTTTACATTATTTGAGGTGAATTAACAGAAAAGATATTCATTCACTTATATATATATATATATATATATATATATATATATATATATAACGTCACACATTATGAAATGGACAAATTCCGACAATTATTTTAAGATATTTTTATATATTCATAGAAAATATTCGAACCTGTATATATATGTCAACACTCAGAGGTGACAGGCTGTTTCATGCTAGACGCAATCGTCAGGCCGAGTATCCACTAAAAATAACGTTTAAGTAATATATATATATATATATATATTACTTAAACGTTTTTTTTATTATTTGAATAGACGCTCCGTTTATTTATTAAACAATGGTTTTAAGTTCGTCTACTAGATTCAAAATTCGAGGAAACTGATTTAAGAAAAAGTATGCGCTTTGCGGTAGGAATTTTAACTTGCACCCCACCACCCCTTGGCAGAGGGAATTGTCGTTCGATCCGACGTGCTCTCGACGCAGGTTCGAATCCTGGCGAAAGCGCATATTTTTTCTTCATTAAGATTTTCTCGAATATTCAGGCGGGTTGAAAATCGCGTCGCAGGTCGTGACGTCGCACATGACCACGTGAGAGTGAAAAAAAAATATATATATATTAATGCATGTTTCATTAAATAATATAGACAAGTTTTGTCTATTTTAAGTAAGTTTCTTTCATATTGTCTGATAAGCTTAATCATATTATCGTTGAAAGAAGAAAGGAAAACACCATATTGATACATGCTTAAATCCAATCTAAGCTTTCGGCGTACACAAGCCATTATCAAAGATGACAATTTCAATAAATTAAACAACACACGGACAAAACCACAATGATAGTCCGCCCTTGCTTCATGAAAAATTTCAAAGTAACGACAAACTCGTACATACGAGACGCGGAAGCAAAAATCGCGTCGCAAGTCGTGACGTCACACATGACCACGTGAGAGTGAAAAACGAGAAGTATTAAGCATGGGAAGCCGTTGCTATAAACCAATGTATTTTGTTTTAAATTATAAGCATTTGAGGATATATGTGGAGATTTCGTAGTTTATTTTGTTCAGGTTAGGTTTCAACTGTTTTATGTATAAAGCTTCAAGAATTTTAAATTTTTGTCTATTGTTTTCATGTTTAAGTATAGTTGTGTTGTCAACAAGGATTTTCCGGAATTGAGTACGCGGGCAGACATGTTTTAAATGTCTAAAAATGTTAGTTTTCATTTAAATGCAGAGTCAAGCGCCGTGAAAGCAAGTTTGTGATTAAGCTTATCAGACAATATGAAAGGAACTTACTTAAAATAAATAGACAAAACTTGTCTATATTATTTAATGAAACATGCATTAATATATATATATATATATATATATATATATATATATATATATATATATATATAGTGAGAGAGAGAGAAAAAAAGAGCGAGGATTAAAATTAATTTATGTATTTACATGCATGTTAATAAGCGGCCTAACTATTATACTGGACATACCAATATATCTTTATCATCTCACTATTGCCTGGGCAGACATTGTGAGTCTGACACAAAACGATTTTAACCTTTTATATTTCTAGTTGAATAACTCAAAGGGTTTTTGCAGTGATTCATTCTTACGACAAATGGTGTCAAGATGGCTAAATGTCTTATCTCAAAAATTGGAAAAAAGAAACTCAATTAGTTTAGTGTTTTTATTTTGGACTAGCAGTAGAGCCCGGCATTGCCCGTGGATGTAACAGTAAGAGTTAGATCAAGTATCAACCATCATAAAGACTGAAAAATAAAATTGACAAAGATTATTGTTTAAGGTTGACACGGACACGCATGTCTTAATTAGTTTGTTTTTTTTTGTTGTTTTTTGGGGTTTTTTTTACGAATTGGTCAAACCCAAACTCAAACAAAAACATTGTTTTCAATGGTCATGAGTCTACCGATTGAATAGAATTTTATTATAAACAATTGTCTTGTAAATGGAATTTTTAAAGCATTCTGAATGTAAAAATAAAGAAAAAAGTGTGCAAGACAATAAGAAATACTACCTGCCAAAAAAAAGTGAAGTTTTGTTGAAATCGGTTGAAAAATGTAGGAAATCCGATCCCATATATAAATGAACACTCACACACAAAAACAACCTGGGTTTTATAATAAGTATAACTCGATATGAGTTGTTCCCCTTTCATTCTCGCGATTAATTGTGTTTTCAAATTGATTTCATGCAAAAACAATTGTGTTTTTCCAATTTTTGGCGCTGTTAGAACCACTGCAAAGTAATTTTACGTAGTCCTGTGAAGTTTTGTTGAAATCGGTTGAAAAATGTAGGAAATGCGATCCAATATATAAACGTACAGATACACACACACACACACACACACACACACACACACACACACACACACACACACACAATCTGCGTTTTATAATAAGTAAGATATTAAACATTTTGTGAGATGGGCAATTATACTGTGACACCATTATTATTACAATAATGATTTAAAACGTATACGAATGTGTTTCTTCCCATGTTCGTCTTTGGACCTTTGAATGGATAAGTTTCATAGGATTGGCAAGAAATTCCAATGTACATTTTCTCCCATATATATGTTGTCACATAAAATCGTTCCGTTTCATAATTTATTTTATAACTTAATATTTATTAACGGCTATGATGAATCATTCAACAATGTGTTCCCCTCCATTGTTTACGACATCTTGCCAATGATTCGCTAAATGTACAATGGCGCGACAATAACTAGATTTTCACTCAAACATTTCATCAAGACACGTTTCAAGCTTCCATATCGTTCTCGCAAATTGTTAGAAAGCCCCGCAAGTTGTGAGAAAGCAATCAAAAATTGGTATTTTTAAGGAACGAAATCAGGAAGAATGTGTTGGGTGTGGCAGAACTTCACAACGGAGCTGTTTAATTGGCTGTTTGGTCGTGTGAGAGTTTGTTATTTCGAACTTCCCCCCCTTGAAATGGAAAACCAATTTCTGGTTTGGTTTGGTTTGCTTTCTTTTACGGCATATAAACCTCAATGTGTTATTCAATGTCAACAGGTTTTTTATTGCTGGTTATATTTTCTATCTATCTATCTATCTCAGTCTCTTCATATCTATCTATCTATCTATCTATCGATATATCGATCTATCTATCTATCTATCTCAGTCTCTTCATACCTATCTATCTATCTATCTATCTATCTATCTATCTATCTATCTATCTATCTCAGTCTCTTTACATCTATCTATCTTTACATCTATCTATCTATCTATCTATCTTCTCAGTATATATTGGTTTGGTTTAATTTGTTTCACGGCTGATCAACGTCAATGGGTTATTTAATGCTGACAAGATTTTTACTGCTGATAATTTTTTCAAAAATATATTACTTTTTTTTTTATTACATATTATTTTGACCCCAGTTCGGGGGTCAACAATTTGCCCATAGCTGGTACCCTAACAGGTGCTACCACGCCGGGTCAGGGTGGACCTGGAAACAGCAAAAAATTCCTGATCAGAGCCCTTGCTGTCGGGTGCAGTTTATCGTCATACCGAGGGCGGCCCATATTTGTGTCATTCTCTCGGAAGTGACGACATCTCCGCGCACAGCACAAATATTTTGAGCGGCTTTAGCAGCTTTGAGATCTAAGTTTAAAAGCAGAGACAAGACATCATGCTCGTTTTTGCCGACTTGGCATTCCATCTCAAAGGAATGTCTAATCTGAAATCAAATTTCAATAAGGTCAAGAGTTACGAAGAAGCATAAAACGCCAGGGAAGATTATTCTTCGAGAACATTCGAAGAACATATAAACAAACGAAAATATTCTTTTTTTTCCTCTCAGTAGAAGTAGGTAGGTTCTCCTGTCGTCCGATTCAGTTTTTTGTCTTTTGAACATCAGTAGAAGTTTATCCTTTGTTTCCTGTTCAGGATTGGGTTTCCGGTTCCTTCTAATTCTTTCACATTCTTTTTTACTCCCAGTAGCCCCTTGCGTCTTAGTGGCATTATTACCTTGCTTGGGGTGATTACATTAAAAAATATATAAAAAAGAAAAAGAAAAGTTTTGAATCATTAAGCGAGAGAGAAAGGAAGAAAATCGACGGGAAAATAGAAAAAGAGAAAGAGAGAGAGAAAGAGAGAGAGGGGAGAGTTAAATTAGGAAAGGGAATTAATGAAGCGACATCAGAAGGGAAAATAAAATAGGAACATAATTAGAAAGAGGGAAAGATAGAGAAAAGGGGGGCTAGAAAGAAAGAAAGAAAGAGGGAGAGAGAAGGAAAGAAAACTGAAAGTAAATGAAAGAGTGAGAGCTGAGTGAAGGATAACATGAAATAAGAAAATAGATAGATAGATAGATAGATATGAACAGAGAGATAGAGAGAGAAAGGGACCAAGAAAGAAAGAAAGAAAGAAAGAGAGAGAGAGAGAGAGGGAGAGAGAGAAGGTGTGAGAGAGACAAGTGAAGAAAACTTAACAAAGGAAATAATAAAGGGTGAGAGCTGAAGGATAAAATCGGAAAATGATTAGAGAGAGAGAAAAAAAGAAAGAAAGAAAGAAAGAAAGAAAGAAAGAAAGAAAGAAAGAAAGAAAGAAAAAGAGAGAAAAGGAAAGAAAACTGAGAGAAAATGAAAAGGAATGAGAGCTAAGTGAAGGAATATAATAAAATAAGAATAGATAGATAGATAGATAGATAGATAGATATGAACAGAGAGAGAGAGAGAGAAAGGGACCAAGAAAGAAAGAAAGAAAGAAAGAAAAAAGAAAGAGAGAGAGAGGGGGAGAGAGAAGGTGTGAGAGAGACAAGTGAAGAAAACTTAACAAAGGAAATAATAAAGAGTGAGAGCTGAAGGATAAAATCGGAAAATAATTAGAGAGAGAGAAAGAAAGAAAGAAAGAAAGAATGAATGAATGAATGAAAGAGAGAGAGAGAGAGAGAGAGAGAGAGAGGGAGAGAGGGAGAGAAGGAAAGAAAACCTAACAAAGGATATAAAAAACAGCGGGAAAAAAAGTCTAAAAATAAAGTAAGACGACAGATAAAATGTCTACCAGATAAAATAATAATCGAGAGAATTTTATTGTTTTTTTTTTTTCTCGCTTTCTACGGACCTTTGCCGGTTATTTATAGCCAGAGAAATATTTTTTTAGATTGTATGAATTTGCGGTGGAGGGAAGATAATAATGATTTAGCGATACAAGTTTTACTAATTAACCCATAGCTGGGGAGAGAAGAGGTGGATTTATACCTGTTCCAAGGATATTTTCACATAAATAAATATTACAAACCCAACAAGAATTGAAACTCGACACTCCGATTAACAATTCCGAGCCATTAACTAAACTTCACGTCCAAACTTACAGCAGCTGGTATCCGAAGCGATCCCTCATCTGGGTACTAACCAGGCTCGACGTTGCTTAATATCAGTGATCCTACGAGAACCGCTGTCTGGGAGTGGTATGACGTAAGGTGCCGAGTTTATTTAATTTATACTGACAGAAACTATAACAATTTAGCTGGCAATTTGTTCACTCTTATATTCTGCGTGTTTTCGACCATTTTTTACTTGAGACCTCAACCCCCCCCCCTTTACGAAAACTAAAAACGTTGGGGTGCACTTCAAATTGTAATAAGGAAAAATTATTCATGATATTTAAAATTAGCTAACCTAAGAGCTGATATTCCCAGGCGGACGCCCAATCAGGCTCGACGTGCTTAACTTGGGGAATCGATGTTTAAACATGATTGGGCCATATCTCATTACAATAATAATAATAATAATTTATGCAAAAGACATAAACAACGGAGGTATAATTGGGATTTACTGGGCAAAAATTCAAACACGAATGTCCGCTTCGGTGATCGTACGGGAAGCGATGTTTCAACGTGATATGGCCGTAAGCCTCATCGAGAAAATGAAAGAGAGAAAAAAAGGGTCTGATATGAACAGTATGGATAAAATATAGCCGAAGGGCTTCATTAATCTCAGTACACCTGTTGGTGACCTCAGGGTCATCGCCTTTGATGTGCTGGTCTAAAGGGGAGTTTTTCCGTAACACAGAAATGTCAAAGGGTCATTGACTAAACAGAAGTTAGATTCGATTTTCTCTTTTTTCTCTTTGCCTTTTCTTTATCTCCCTTTTTTTTTAAATTCTTATCCCCCATCTCGTCATTTCACTCCCTTTCTTTCTTCCTTATACAGCGGGCAGCAAAAGTACCTCCCACATACTGGGTACGATGAGTAAATTGCCGCCATTTTAATCTTTTTTTAAATTTCGCGCATGCGTGATGTTAGTTTTCGATTTCGTTGACTGCACAGTATAGCCGGGTCAGTTGGACGCCGTCTGTGAGAAAAAGAGCACGTTGACGTAATTCACTCCATCAAAAATGTGGAAACGGTATGCTGTGCTGGAAGCGACAATCTGAGGAAAGTGCAAAAGATTTGGAAAAGAGTTGGATGAGTCTAATGGTGATTACGAAGGTACGACAGTTCTGAATACTCACTTCTCTTTGATAACATAAGAACTCAGGAATTTGTTGGTGAGATCCAAGCCATGATTAAAAACAATCTCTCCAAGTCAAACAGGTCCATAGCCAGAGAGGTAGTGCTGTCCTAGGTCAAGAGGGTGGCAGCAGGATTCTGCAACACGCCACACAAGCAGGAGTATATAGTCATGGATGTCAGACGATTTCTGCAGCCACATCACCCCTTACATCTGGCCAGCTAACTCCACAGACTGCAACCCCCTTGATTATTATGTGTGGGGCGCAGTTGAGCGAAAGACCAACAAAACTTCTTGTAACACCAAAGATGAACGGAAGGCAAAGAATATGGCAGAATTCCCCACGTTAAACAAGGAGGCCGTCCAAAATAGATGCAGGAGATTCCAAAGTCGTCCGAAGGCCATGATTGTAGCCAGTGGCGATTTTATTTTAGTATTTTAAAATTTTTTTCTGTACTTTTCGTAAATATATCTGCTAAACTGTGATATCAGTGTTATTTTAGTTTATTCATCGCGCGCTGTATACAACCTAGAAATACCTCCCAAATGATAGGAAGACATTAGTAACAATGGTGTTTTCATCTAGCTAATGTCTTAGCATTATAGGGGTGTTTTTTTTTAATCATTTCATTCCAAGCAAGGCGATAAAGCCACTCAGCAGCGTGTGGCTACTAAGTGGGAAAACAGCGATTAATAAGAGAGGACAATAAAAGAAAATGTATTAAGAGGACAGGAGATAATGATTGACATTGCATTTAAATGTTTGCAGAAGCCAGAAAAAAGACTTATAAACGAAAAGTGTGATAGAAGAAACTGTTAGCATAGAACTTACGGTTACATCTAGCTATTTAAACCTTGCCATCAATAACTCTTATTTCTGTGTTTCTTATATATATATATATATATATATATATATATATATATATATATATATAGATAGATAGATAGATAGATAGATAGATAGGTTTTCTTCCTACGTGAGATAGATAATAAGATAGACAGAAATGGACAGAGAGATACATATGAACAGATAGATAGATATATATGAACAGATAGATAGATAGATAGATATGAACAGTAAGCTAGATAAGAACAGATCGATACAGAGATATAGACATACATATATACATATGAACAGATAGATAGATTGATATATGCATGCATGTGAACAGATAGATACATACATACATACATATGAACAGGTAGATAGATAAGAACTGATAGATAGATAGATACATACATACGAACAGAGAGATATGAACAGATAGATAGATAGATACACACATATATACATACATACATATGAGGAGATAGATAGATAGATAGATAGATAGATAGATAGATAGATAGATAGATCAGTATGATAGAAGAAATTGTTAGCATAGAACTTACGGTTACATCTCGCTATTTAAACCTCACCATCAATTACTCTTATCTCTGTTTCTTTCTTTTCTTCGAAGTCATTGTCAGTCGAGAAGGCCTCGAGATGTCACAATAAAACATATCTTAAGTTCTTTTTTTTCTGAGCTCTGGTATTTTAATGATTATTTTTTTTATTTACCCAGATCGTATCTTTCCAACAAATGGACTATTGTACAAACTATACAAGAATGGATAAAAAAAAAAGAAAAAAAAAAAGAATAACACTACATTTCGAACCCAGCATAAAACCCCAGATATTAAAATCGGACAGGAAGCCAAACACTCCTTTCCTGGTTCTAAGCATGAATCTCTTCATTCAAAATTCACCCCAAAATCCTTGTGGATATTTGTGCTAACCGTTACACTATCCGCGTATGCACACATAGGACGCTGGGAAGCGCCACATTCATTCTTCTCCCACTTCTCTTAGTCTGCCATTGGACCCTTTATTTAACCGAATAAAGGAGACCAGATATATATTCAGATGATCATCTGAGGCGTGATATTGACTGTCACCAGACAGTGTTTATTCTTATACCCACAAAGTTTCTTTCTGTTTCTATTTTTGTCTGCGTACACGTATACACATATGCATTTTTACACTAGACACACGTAAATACATATATGTATATAAGCATGCTTTTTTGTGTGTGAGGCAGACAGTCAATGTGTATATGTATGTATTATTGTTAAAATAAGCGGAATGGCCAACGAAAATCCTTTGTTAAGGATCTTTTTTACTTATCTCTATGTATAAAAGGAAAGGCAGGATCTCTCTCTCTCTCTCTCTCTCTCTCTCTCTGTGTGTGTGTGTGTGTGTGTGTGTGTGTGTGTGTAACGAATGCACGGCCGCAATTTTCGACGGATTTGCAACAAAATTTACATGCACATGCTCCAAGTTAGCGGGAAGGCCAACTTCCAACTCCCATCAATAGTGGAAATAATCGATTTTTTCATGCTTCTACGGCAGTTTTCATGTAGTTTGCGGCTATTTTCTACTGGCCGGAGTGAGAGCCTATAGCTGGCTGCCATGAATAGGCAGGAAGATTCTATTGGCCAGCGTGAGAGCCAAAAGCTGACTGACACGAATGTTAACTAGCATACTAGCATGCAAAAACAATCGATAGCTGCATTCGTCACAAGTGGGAAAAATTTAAATCTGCATGGCACTTTACTCCAATTGGCTAATTCGCTTGCTTAAACTCAACGTTGATTCTGATTCCGCAGAACTGGGTTGGGTTTGAAAAAGTATTTGTTGTTAACATTCTTTTTTCATTCGGTTTTTCCAGTTACGAGTCCTTTTTTAAAGAGATCGTTTTGTGTTCATTTTGTTTAGTTCTTTATTCGTAACAGATTTAATGTTTAGTATAGAGCTTAGAAAAATTCGCAGTGTGAGATAGGCAAGAAGTAAGGCATGTAGCAACATCAGCACGGCAAAGGACACTCCTTTAAAGGCAAGGAAAGGCAAAAATATTTTAAGTGATAGCGATTGCTGTATGAGTCGTACGATTTTTGAATCAAGCTCGCTAGAGTAGACTGTTCTAGTTCCACGTGCGATGGATGTCAGTTATCAGTTATCCCCTGTTAATTCCCCTCTCCAAGTTCTCCACTGCCTTAAACAGGTATTGAACTCACACTCTTTGGGTCCTGTCACTGGATCTAACTACCGCCTTTATCCACTGTGTCATGTGTTCTTCAGGACATCCGTGTATGAATTTATAATACATTATAAAACTAATGTCATCAGCAATCATTTTTTACCAGTGCTCATATTGCAATTTTTGCTGTTATCATTACATGTATTTTACGAGAGCACATATTTCAAAATTTTATTGCAAGGCTGAAGAAGGTCGGAGCGTACAACGGCCGAAACGTTGTGATAAATATGGCAACAAAGACGAGGACAATAGTCCGAATAATGAAAATAGTGTACATAACACCTCATGTGAAAAATATAGACAGATACTTTCCCGTCTATATTTAACATAATTCAATGGGAAAAAATAGATTTTGCTATCGTCCGGTTCACACTCCTCCTCTGATTTTTAAACAGGCATAGATGTTTATCCCTTGTTTCCTCTTTAGGATTTGTTGCCCGGTACCTTTTAAAGTACTTCAGCTGTATACGCATAAGGCTTGTCCTGTCCTATGCTAAGACAAAAGCCAGAAAAATGTCTCTTCGTTTCACAACCCTCACGGGTACAACCTGATTCGTTTTCCTGTAGGTGGGCCTGTTATCAGGACTTTAGGTATCCACTAACCCATTAGAGTCGTAGATGTACCACATGTACTTAAGCCATACGATATATCTGTGACAAAGTAACTAGACATGTCCCATTAGGCTTTAATTCCACTTAGTTACATCTAGAGAGAGAGAGAGAGAGAGAGAGAGAGAGAGAGAGAGAGAGAGAGAGATCATTTGAAGTTCTGAGGTGACACCGAGTATAAAATATATTGTGGTATCTGTTAGATTGAATACAGTTAAAATTAGGGACACCAGATATCTGGTCTTCTTGAAAAAATGTTACTCATGGGCATTCAAATTCATCTAAACTTTTGAATTTTCTTGGACTGAATCAAACACTGCGAATGTCTTTTGAAAATATTTCATCCTCATTTTGTTTTTCTCGCAGCATAGGCGATAAAGCAAACAGAAACGATAAATAAAATCAGGATAAAAACAATTGCTTGCAATATTTTTCATATATCTTCTTTTTTCCTTCATTTTTTTATTTTTTTTTGGCAACAGGTCGGTTTTTCTTGGGAATATCGGCAGACATTGCGTGATAAAAATAAATTATTTTCTTATGAATTGAACAAATTTGATTTTCTTTTCTCCTTCTTCCATTCATATATAAAAAAGAAGAAAAACAATTCTCGCAAGATGATTTAATTTATGACAAACATTTCGACATCGGCGTTATCGCTGACGCTACAGTTACAAAACTGATTGCTAAATGGATTCTTTGCTTTCATGTAATTTCTAGTATTTTTGTATACGTTATACAACATTATAGTTTATCTCCCCACACAGTCCTGGGCCGAGAAACCAACAAAGACCGTATAAATTCCCTCGACTAACCTTTAATCATAATCGCCAAGTCAAAATATGAAACACATTCCGTAATAAATTTAATCGTCGTTAAAAAATCAGAATTAGTAAACAGAATAAATTTATTATTTTTCCTGAATAATATATTTGGTCAAATATACAATAAAATAGACCACAGATAATAATCTCTCTCTTTCTCTCTGTCACTCTCTCTCTCTGTCACTCTCTCTCTCTCTCTCTCTCTCTCTCTGAATAAAGAAAGAATAAAAATCGATCTTAACCGACGCGTTTCGTCCTTCGATGAACTTCAGGGCAAGTGTAGGGATTTTATTATGTAACAAATATTTATACAGAGAATTAAAAATATCTTTAGTTTTTCAGAATTTTAAGAACCCTCATAAATACACTTAATGTAATGGATATAAACTCAGAGTAATTAATTGGATCTTCTTGCATAAACTATACTCGTAACCTTGAGTCAAACCTTACAAAAACTGACATAGCATAGTGATTTTCCAAGCGTAGCTTAGATGTGGCACAAGGCCGAAAGTAGAGGGCACCCAGTTCGAATCGAACTCACTACACAGTGGTAATTGTTCTAGCGAGACAAGCTTGACTAATCATTACACCGCATCGAGGTGCCCAAACTTACGAAAGCATAAAGGACATTTCAGAGTAACGTAATGGTTAACGATCTATCCTGGGTAAGAATTACTCATAGGTAATCAATTCCATCTTAACTGAGTGCTCCATACTGGTGGTCATGTTCTAAGAACGACCTAAGTTTAGAAAATAAAATGTGTCTAGGCGTAGTGTCATGATTAACGAGTTAATCTAATTAAGTATTAATACTGAAGAGTGTATTTGAAACTAACTAGATATCTCAGATTCGGAGCGTTGTGCTAAAAATAAGCTACGGTTTGAAAATAAAATATGGCGCCACGGTGTGGGGTAATGCTGACCAATCTAGTCTTGTTGATCATTGCTACTGAATAATCAGGTTGATCCTCACTGAGTGCATAATAATTGTAACCTTGTGGCGAAATGAAGTAATATAACCAAATGACTATAAAATAATGTTAAATGCTGGTATTAGTGAAACATTTATACAAAATGTCTTATTTTTTTTTAAGTCAGCACAGAATTATATAATCTTATTGTTAAAATCCTTTCAAAAATTCTTTTATAAGGGGTGTTCCAATAACCTGGACCGATTTTAAATATGAATCAAGTTTAAGCGTCTAATGATTTTTTTTCTTTTCCTTTCAGATTTGGCGGGCATTTGGGCGATATTATTTTTCACGCATAATTGCTATGATCTAATAGAGAAATAAACAAATTTTCATCAATAACATTGATTTATTTACCGCTGGCTTCGATCCGTCTTAATGAAACACCCTTATATATAATCTGTCTTAATGAAACACCCTTTATAACCTATTTCTTCAGGGTGGAAACAAAAACGTAAATGTTTTTAAATTTAATTAATATCGTCGCTCAAGATTAAATTAAATTAAAAATGTTTTCTGTTTCTGGTAAACTCTATACAATTGTATATATCTTCGTAAATACAAGTTGAGATTTTTCATCTGAAATTCTAGGAACTAGAAATTCTTCCGTTCTCAGGTATTTTCGGATTCTAGAATAGAGGTTATTTAATATACATATAACAGCTGAAATGGAACACAAGCAACACTATAATAATCAATTTAATAATCTATAAAATGGATTGTTGGTCATTTTGCTTTAAGCACGATATCCTTTTACATTTAATAACTGAATGTTATGTATTGTGTAATCTCTATGTGTAATAGTAGTCCTAGTACAGTTCTCCGTGTCTAGATTTGCAACCGGGTTTGCTATGTATAGCTACGCTGTGTTCGCCACTTGTTCTCTATTTCTACTTGTC